GATTTTGTGATATCGTTGAAAAAAATGTATATAAAAGAGAAATCCCTATTAATCTATTATTTTTATTATTTATATACTCTCAAAAGTGATAATTCACCTCTTATAAATAAAAAATTGTGTTTTTACATATGCAAATAACATTGACATATACTGTACCACTACTACCACATACAGTGGCCTACTACTGCTGTAATCCTCAAAGACTATGTCCCACCACTGCAGATTTCACGACTTATTTGAAAAATTATTTGAGTGAACGGATAATAATAATAATAAGCACAGTCAATAAATATTGTTTCCTTAAGTAAAGACCTATATTTTAAATTTAAAAAAAAATTTAGATGAATTAGCATTGGTGGAACTTCAAAAATAAGAAATAAAAATTTTTTGCTCAAAAAAGTGTCCCACTATACCCCATTTTACCTTAGTCTTGCTGTAAAGTACATAAATTAAAGAAGTGGCTGTGCCGCCTAAGGCAACATCACGATAAAACATTTTGGTGCCCCTAGAGAGATTTTCTCCCTCTTTCTCTCTCTTCTTTTATCATTTGATTGCCTTTCTTCTGTATCGTAGAACACCTCGCATGCCGGCCGTATCCGTTATTTCGTGCGTAATGCAATGCGCAGAATTCAACACGTTGTAGCGTCTCAGCGGCTGCTGCCTTCAACCACCAAACATGCCTCGCTTCCGCCAAGGACACCTCATCACCCGGCTGACATCTCTTCTCAACTTGGTTTATCAAGATAAGTGGTAGTATACTAAAATCTAATATCTTTTTAAACGCTGATTGTGACTAATGAAAAGTGAAATATATATGTATATCCTATTTCCCGGTGCATGAGCAGAACGAGCCTGACCCACTGATGAGCACGCATGTACATGCCCAGCGTACGGTTCTTGAGTTTACAATCGCGTGCATGCTACGAGTGCGATAGACACTATCTATTTCGAATTCTTCCGTTTTTTTCTACATTCTCTAGTCTAGTGCAACCTATCGGAAGATTACGTTTGCATACAGTTTAACATAAGCATTACAATCAAAGTTACTTTCACAATTTAGATATAGGTTGTTAGTAACAAGCGTAAAATGTAGAAGGCTAGTATCGAGAACTTGTTTTGGTATCGTTTTTTGCGTTTCCAGCATACTGCATCGTGAGCTGAACCAGGCTGGCCGGTGCTTTACGTTGTGAGTCCGACCGTACCCATGGTTGAGTACCTCTGCGAGACTTAACAAGGACTAAAATTAATTTGTTTATTTTAATTCTGCAATTCTTACTTCATCGCCTTGATGTTTAGTGTGCAGTTTTATTGTGTTTAATTGGCATATTTATAAAACGGTACATTACTTTTAATTTATCCTTAGGTTAATAAATAAAATAATATCCTTGTGACATAAAACCAAGTATCTTCTGTCAATAATGAAAACTGAACAAGTAAAAACACAAATATCTTATATAGAAGTTAAGACAACAACTTTCAAGAAACAATTAGATCATTTTGAGTAAAAGCTTTAAAAGAAAGGTTATAATTCAGCACAGGCTGAAATTCGTCTAGAGTTACTTAAAAAATAACTAACAGAATACGAACGATACAGCGACGAACTGAGACAAATCAACTCATGTAACGAGCGATTGAAAGAGTTTTAAGATTTACAAGAACTCTTAGGGCTAAAGCTCTCTAGTTATTATAGCGTGCAAAGTGGGAAAAATGCAGACTAGGTCTAGAGGATCTGGTGCAGAGTTAAGTGATAGCTCCTTCGTGAAAAAACATAAACTTTTGCAACTACCCATAGCAGAGCTTCCCAACTTCGATGGTACTTCAGAACAGTGGCTCTCCTTTTCTAATTCATTAAAGTTTATGGTTGACGAAAGAACAGACATTGATGACTTAGTTCAATTCACGTACTTGAAGGCTTGTATGAAAGGTGATGTGGTAAACAAATGATCAGTTTCCAGTGTTACTGCAGACAGTTATAACGTAGCCTGGAAACTGTTAGTAGAGACATACGAGCACAAACGTAGCTTAGCATCAAGCCACATTCAAGCCATTTAACACCTGTCATCAGTAGACTAAGCAACTGCAGTAACCTTGAACACACTTTACGACATGATCCGACAACGTTTGAGTACCCTTAAATCTATTTAAGTTATACCTGATGATATGATAACTATTGAGATTGTAGCTGAAAAACTTCCCACATTTACGCGTAGGGAATGGGAAAAGGCTTTGAAACCTGACATTCTTCCTACGTTATAGCAATTTTCCAAGTTCTTACGCAAAACCTCTTTACTGTTGTACACCTGTAAATAATACTCCCCGTTAAAGTCAACAAACAGTAGGCGCAATACCGACAAGGTATCCACCCCGCCAAAATTCCAGTATAGCGAAAGTGGTTCTCAAACCTTTGCCATAGGACTAACTTTATATTGCTCTAAGTGTAAATCTAATCACATGCTTCACTTTTTCCCAGAATTAAAAAAATTAGATATTCAGCAACACTGAGACTTTGTTCGGGAGCACAAACTGTGTAGGAACCGTCTACGTCCACTTGCGGAGCAGTGCAGTAGTACCAATCGTTTCTAACATTGCAACAAAATGCATCACACACTCATGCACGCGGACAAGAGTCCAGCTGACGATGCCTTTCAACGACCAAAGGGACATAAAGCTGACAGTAAAACCCCTAACAAACAAGCATAACTAAGATATCAATCATTTAGCACTAGAGCGTCTGTCCTAAACTCTCAATTATTGACTACAGCTCTCATTCGCGTCACAGATCATACAAGTGGATTTAGGACAGCTCGTGCACTATTAGGTTCGTGCTCCACTACTCATTTGATAACAAAAAGCTTAGTTAAGTTATTAGGATTACCCAAACAAACGATACCTGTACCATACCTAGACATTGCGTTAAGATAAAGTTTACGGAACTTTACAATGATTTTGAAAAGGTATTGAATTTTTTAACCGTACCAAAAATTGCTAATTTTGTCCCAAATGAAACATTTCCAAGAGATCTATTAGACATTCCGAAAAATGTAAGATAAGCTGACCCCTAGTTTCACATTCCTTGACCAATTGATGTGTTGGTTGGCTCAGGAGCCACTTTAGCTATGTTTTCAATCGGGCAAATCAATATTTCCAGGGGCGATTGTGATTTGATCTTACAAAAAACTCACTTAGGATTGGTCATTGCTGGAGGAATAAATGGAAGTGAGCCAAAACGTACCTTAAATGCAGCTTGATTGAACTGAGCTCACTATAACAACGCTTCTGAAATATTGAAGAGCTTGACACTGATTCCATAACTACGTCCGAATCAGACTTCTGTGAGGAACATTACGTTATGAATACCACTCGCGATTCTCAAGGTTGATACACAGTTAGATTACCTATTTGTGACTCCAGTGTTGCTTTAGGTAGATTAAAATCTCAGGCCCTTCGACGATTACACTCTTTACAAAGAAGACTAGAAGGCGATCGCAAACTTAGACTCGAATATCACAAGACTATGCAAGAGTATGTTAATCTCAGACACATGTCATGACTGAGCGACGGGCAAGACGAAAGCTATTGTATGCACCACCATGCAAGTAATTAAAGAGTCAAGTAGCACCACTAAGGTACGAGTAGTTTTTGATGCGTCTGCCTAGACGAGTAATAATTCTTCCCTAAATGATGCCTTGCTCGTCGGTCCCACGATTCAGCAAACTCTCTTTGAACATTTGATCAGCTTCCAAACTCATGCTTTTGTGATAACTGCAGACATTGCAAGGATGTACCATCAAGTGCTTATCTATCCAGAATATCGCAAATTCCAACGTATACTGTGGTTCAAGGAAGGTTAGACTCAAACCTGTGAGTTAAACACCGTTACTTTTGGCTATTTAGCAGCTCCTTTCCTGGCTATTGAAACACTCAATTAACTAGCGAATAACAAAGCGGAGAAATTTCCTTGTGTCAGTACAGTATTAAAGCAGGATTTGTATGTCAATAACCTTTTAACAGGTGCCGATTCGTTAGAGGATTATGACGATTTGCAGATTTATGACGATGTTATACAATTATTGAAGTGAGGTGGTTTTCATATTAGAAAATGGGCATCCAATCACCAGCATGCTCTTAATAATCTCGACCAGGCAATCTTTGAACCAGACTGTGCTATCGATCGAAATCCTGTTTTAAAACCTTAAGGTGTAGTCTGGAATTCACAGCAAGATCAATTGACTTACAGGACTCAATTGATCGATACTTCTAGCCCTTGTACTAAGCGTAGAATCTTGTCTGAAATTGCAAGGTTGTTTGATCCACTTGGGTTTCTAGGTCCAATAATATTATTCGCGAAAATTCTTACGCAGGATTGTTGAAGAGCCAAGCTGAACTGGTATGAGTCCATTCCAAAATAATTGCAGCGTCACTGGATCTTGTTCACTAAACACTTAGATTTAATAAACAATCTTGTGGTGGATAGACGCATTGTGAGTGATAAGCCTAGTTAAATTGAAATTCATGGGTTTTGCGACGCTAGTCAAAATGGCTATGGTGCTTGCATTTATATTCGATCAATTAATCCTTTGGATCGTATTTGCGTTCAACTTCTGTGTGCTAAATCAAGGGTAGTCCCAATCAAACAATAGACTATACCTAGGCCCGAGCTTTGCGCAGCTTGGACACTCACTAAACTCTAAAAAACCATTTCTTCATTTCTGAGGCTCAAAATCAGTCAAATTATGTTTTGGTCAGATTCCACATTTGTACTCCATTGGATAAAAAAGTTACCCTCTGCATCTAAAACCTTTGAGGCAAATCGAGTTACTGAAATCCAGTCGTTAGGAGATACAGTTCAATGGAGACACGTTTGGTCAGGAAGCAATCCAGTAGACGCTTTATCTTGTAGACAGCTTCCGTCAGAGTTTTCGAAAAATAAAATTTTGTTTAGTGGTCCAAGCTAGTTGTCAACTCTAGAATCCTTTTGGCCCATTAGCATTAAAATTGCTGAGCCCAGTAACATTCCTGGACTAAAGAAGGCGGTTTGTCTAAATACTGTAGTTGTAGCTAGGAATTTTGGAAGTCATACTTCTATAGGTGCGTTATGCGTGGGGGTAAATCAACGATTTCAGATCTTGACCTCCAGAAAAAGTGTGATGGAGGTGGATTTTGCTTGCTTCTCCTTTTTCACCCCGTCCCTCGTGACGTACTTCTGATTTCCGCTACATCACATGACACCACACTACACCACACATTTTAAATTTATAACTTTTATTTCGTTTTCTTTTATTAAATAAAAAAAA